GTTCTGTGAAGAACCATTATCCATACTCTAGTAGATAAACTTCCTAAAAAACCGACGAATCCACGACTTAATCTTATACAAAAAAAAATAAATTGCAGCATAAAGATTGGCTTTGCCGAGAAGACCATCATAAAACCGCTTTTCGAAGAATTATTCAGAAATAAGAAAATATATAATATATTCATGAAACTTTAAAACAATTTTAAAATCTTTTGCAAAGGACAGATTACAACTACAGATGTCTTATGAAGGACTACTTTTGTAGAGCTCCACCCTGAGAAAGCTTTGTGACAAACCAGTGCCGAAATCTCTACCACAAATTATAATATTTTTCATTTCTTTAAGCTAGAGCCTTAGAATTAAAAAAAACAAAGTCTATATTTCTCCCACTGTTCGAAGACATTATTAAGGTCATTGAGAATTATGATCACCCAAGGTAATAAAAAATCATAAAAAATCAGCAGATTGATTTTCAAATACTTCAAGATTGAGTATTAAAAGCGTTTTGGTAGCCAATCTTTATGAATCTTGGAGAACCGGAAGGAAGGCTTCAGTGGTAGATAGGGGTAGTGGGCCTCATGCGACAGGGACTCACTCACCTACGACGCCCAACGGGGCCTTGCAGCTGTGACAGAAGCACTGGAGCACCGAGTCGCGCACGAGACCGATCAGCATATTGTCGTTTCGATTCGTACGAGGGGGTTGTTTCGCGAAGGGTGTCTCGGGACAGGTGATCTCGACGATGGGATCGAGCGCGCGAGACTGAGTCGCGGGTGGCTGGAAGGACGAGATGAAGAGGACTAGACCAGAAAAGAGAAGAGTTAGGCACGCCGGAAATGTCGCTCAAGTCGTAACTGGGGCGGTGGCTGGAGGGCGACTGGCCCGCACACTGCGCCGCGACGCCCGGCGTCGCTCAATATTCGACCACTCTCCTCCTCCTCCTTTTCCTTCTCCTCCTCTTTTCCTCGCTTTTCCCCGCATCATGCAACCAGCAGCCTACCCGACGACAAGCTACCCTTCCAACTAACCAACTTCAACCTGCTATCGCCACTACTACTAGAACAGCCGACAGAGGGATGTTATTGGCTATACGGGGTGTTCCGCAAGAAGACCGCGTTAGACGTGAGAGAGGACTTAATGGATGCGCAAGAGGGGAAAAAACGTCAAACAGAGGGATGGTCGAAGTCGTGGAATTAAAATGGGTAACTTAATTGAGGGTACTTTGGAGTTTAGATATTTTGTGAGCTTTTGGACGTTGAGATTCTTCTTTCGAGGCTCGTTACGTAGATATCTTTTATGCAATTGTACCTAAAGAAACTTTTTCAGGAGTCTGAGATACTTGGAAGTTGAGATTTTTGAATGACTTTTGTATGTCTCAAAAATCCAATGTGCTTGGATATTGAGAATTTCGGATTCTCAAGATTCCAGGATGTATTTGTTCTTCGGAAATTCTACGTTCGTGAAAGATTCGACTTAAAGATCCTGCTATTTTTTTTTTCTGGACACTCGGTATAGCTTGGAGCCAGTCGCTAGGCACGCATGCGAAAGCCTATGTGCAAGCGTAAAATACCATCTGTCTATTTCCCATTCTTTTCCCCTCTTTCCGAATCATCCCGACTCATTGGAGATGTACCATTCTCTAGAATCCTCCGATCTACCGTCGCCATTCTAACGAAGAACTGGCTTCAATTTTCAAAACGATTGAAGAAAAAATCCGCTTGAATAAAGTCCACATGAGTAGCACGGAACTTCGCAAAGTACCACGGTGGATTCGAATTGATTTTGCTCTCTCACGTTTTCCTCCCATCTTCGTATCTTCAATTAACTATAGTAGTACCAACATGTCTTACTAAAAGGATTTGTAAGAGAATAAATTATGCAAAAAAAAAAAAAAAAGAAAATGATGAAATTCAAATATTTATAATATATAAAGAATATAATTATTAAAAAATCAAAATAATTTAAAATCTTATATTTTTTATACAAAAACATAATATTAATCTAAAAGATAGAAACGATCAATAATGACTGTTTGATATTTCTAGTGACTAGCTCGTATTAGATTGTTGAGTATTTCGACATCTTGAAATTCTTGAATCTTTGAATCTATTAGATCTGCAAATTCTAAAACCGCTATTCATAGTCCGTTCTTATTACAAGATCGTCTTAAAATGCTAATATGTCTCTATGATTAATTTATGACTATGATATCTGAAACCTGTCTTGAAACTGTCTTGAATATAAGAACTTATATTCAAAACAGAACACCAACCTAAGACTCTGGAAATCTGTGTGGAGTTCTTGATTTAATTTTGAAACTACCAGATATGTTTCTTTCTTTAAATTCCTTTTTTTGAACTCAGATTTGCGAGAATAAAATTGGAATCGTTATTCACATCCTTAAGATAGGACAGAATGTCGCGACAGAGCGACTAGAAAATATGGGCCATGTAATGATCGCGCTTTGTGTAAAATTTTCCACTGGATAGACGATCGAAGGCACTGCTTTGTTGGAACTCGCACGTTGTGATGCAGTCGAGAAAACACCAGCGAGTCGATTACCCGTGGAAATCAATGAAGAATGAAATTTTCATGATGAATGACGACCGAAGTCATGGTCAGATTTATATTAGAGCGATAAACAAAGAAAAATCTTTTTTTACGTATTACGGTTCTTATCCTTCAGTTAACTGCTGAATCCTCCAATTAATTGTTTTGCACAAAAGGCGATAATTTCATTGACTTAACGCATCTTTATTGTCAAATGGCTCGATTTAGAAATCGAGTCGGTGAAGATGAAGGCAAAAGTTAATAACTGTCAATGTTCTAATAGGTTCCTAGTAGAAGTTTATCGCTCGAGATAACTAGGATTAAATTATTTAAACTCCATATCACAATAGAATTGATTCAATGCAAGTTTTATCTTCGATAAGATTGATTATCGAAAAAAATTGCCCAAGTTTTTTCAATGCTCTTATTAAAGATAAAATCTGCATTGAATCAATCCTATTGTGATATGGAGTTTAAATAATCTGATCCTAGTTACAAAAACATACAATAAAAAAATAATGATATGCCCAAAAATAATGTGTTTATTTAACGAACTTCTGACTATGTATTAAATTAAATTTTTAATGCAGATTTAATAAAACAAGAAATTGGAAAAAATATATATTCTAATATAAAATATTTTTATACGTATAATAAATTAAGTTTTAATATTATTAATATAATATATAATTATATCGATTCTATGTATATACATATATGTACAATAATTATACACAATAAAAATATTAATTATAATATATAATTATTATAACATAATTATTAGTTTATGTTAATCTAATAATGTAGCTTAATTTTCATATTATATCTGGAGATTCAAGATTAATTAAATCGATGAGTGCAGAAAAGGGGATGAATGATAATTATCTAATTTTTCAGTATTAATAAAAAATTGTTTAGTTTTAGTTTCAATGAAAAAACTGACAAAATTATTTTTAAGAGAATTTAAATATGATATTTAATAATCCCTGATTCCTGATTCGTTTACCTATTAAATGAAAAATTAAAATTTTTTTCATTTAGATTTATACCTTTTCTTCACTTAAAATAAAAAAAATTTTATAGTGCGCTCTACTATTTACTTTATTTATCTTAAATGCTCTCTCATTATGTTAAACAAAATGTAATTTATACTAAACAATTTCGAAAGCAGCGAGCTAAAACACTGACTATTAAAATATCTCTTCTAGATATTTTAATAAGCTTTTCAAGTTTAGTCCATTAACCATTCGAAAATTTCATGAAAAAAGCTTCTACATTCTGAAGGATGCAGCATTTCATTTTTTTCAATCTTGAATTTTGCGAGTTTTGAACTAATGTCCTTATTCATTTTCAAAGTCTTCTTTAAGTCTTAGAAGAGCCTAGGATAAGTGCTCTATTTGCACTGAAAATCCAACCATTTCAAGATCAATGAGAAGAAAAACTTATTTTCGAAAAGGATTAGTCTCGTCCTCTTTCTCTACGCGTTGATTCAATTATAAGATTTGGGAATCAAAGCTTTGAGAAGCTCTCAAGATTCTTTCTTCCTCAAAACTTTATTCTTCTTTAGAATTCTTTCACAACATCTTTTGTCCTTTATCTTCACATTTTCATAATTCAAAACAAAGATAATAATAGTCATATACGCTTGAAGATAATTTTCGTGACTTACTTTGGCAACAAAAAATTACACTAAAGTTTTAAGTACTGCAATCACAAAAAAGATGTATTTGTTATGAACGTCGGAGTAATCTTAATCCAATAAGCTCCGTGTAATAAATTGGATTCGATGGTTACAGTTTAATAACATCCAAATGGCAATAACGAGAAAAAACAAGCAAAAGAATTGAAGAAAAAATCAGTTTTATCGTCGCGAGTTATCCCTCTCATTGGTTTCTTCCCAATAAAAACTCGTGTCAAGGACGAAATTCTCTCTCTCACTGTGAATCCCATTCAATAATCTCTCCCTTCCATGGCTTTCTTCGTTAGATTAATCGGAAAGTGTTTGATTCAAGAGTAAGTATAACAATAATATTGAAGAAATATTTCTCTCATTTTTTCTCTTCTCTTTTATTAACTAGCAATAAAGATTATTATTATTGTTATTATTATTGTTGTTATTATTATTATTATTATTATTACTTCCTAATTTAAGACAGTGTTTTTGTCTGCCGTAACAGTTATACACTTCAATTTTTAATTCTTGACCGACCATTTGATACTTTTTATTTCTTTTGACAGCTCAGTTTTTTAAAGTTACATTTACAATATAATTACGCTGACTATTATGTCATTGTGACGAGCATCTTATCAAAGGATAAGTGTATGGCCATTTCGGATATCAGAAAATTTCCAATAATCCGTCTTTCAATCGAGCAATTTGTGTCTATAAATTTTTCATTGTGTTATATCTAACTCTGCTTTATGACACTTCTCTACTTCTGCGTTTTTTTGTTCATCTCTTATTTCACTACTGCATTTATTCGAATATCTGAAGATGACTCGAAGAAGCTGAAACATATAATGTTACCGAGTTTATAGCTTACTTATAATTATACTGTAATTTAATAAACGTTTTGTTTTTCATATATTTTTGAAACTGATTCTTATATGCTCTTTACTTTCTTTATATTATTATTATTACTTCAAAAATTGAAACTTCAGAAACATAATCACTTTCATGTTTATTTTATGTTGTTCAATTCAACTTGTACAATAAACTCATGTCAATCTTTCACATAAAGGGAATAGCTGCGAAAGGATCGAGTCCCTTCAAACCTCCTTTCAGGTTGCGTTTCTTTCGCACTCCACGATTAGCGACTCCAAGTTGAGAGCCACGGAGGCGATGGGTCCCCGACGTGCACCACTGCCGTTGTCAGCCGTCTGATGCAGGCTCACAGCAACTTCTTCCTCCACAGCGCTCATTCTTACTCGCTAACCACGAGGACGCGGCCATCGGGGTCCGGGGGCTCTGACCTCTTGTCCGTATGCCGCCTGCCGGTCTCGCCGGTCTCTGCAGCGTTTAGGGTGTGTTCTCCGGCACGGCGCCGAATCGTCCGGGCGCCTTGGTTCTCCTCTCTAATTGTCGAACTTTGTCCTGATATATTGTCCAAGGGACACGCACTCATATGCATGTCGAGCGTATCATTCAAAAAACAAGGGACGCACCAAAGGATTAAGAATCGACATAAACTAACGAGTATTAACTTTATCTCATTATGTGTATATGAGAGATCCGTCCATTACGAGTCAAGGGGTATCATGGGTTATTGACCGTTTAAGATAAACCAGAGTGTTAGATAACATTGTATAACTCTCTGGTACTATACAATTGTTACTTTGTTGTCCTCGTATGTATGTGACAGAGATTAAAAAACTCCTTGTTTCGGGACGCACGTGCGTTAATGATTTTGTAATGCCATTTAAAAAAAACAATCATAACTATCATATGATCATAAAATCTTTTTTTTTTGAAAATTTCATTTTGCCATTATTTATCCTTCTTTAGACCAAACAACTTTTGTTTAACATGGTTTTCCATTTACCTTCCATATTTATCTTTCCATTGCCTGCAGCAATTAAAATGGGATACCTTGTACACGATTTAATTATTAGTAATAAATCATAAATCAATTCTAGTGAATAAACGAATTTTCCAAAAATAATGTACGTTTTTTGACAATAATGTACGATTCAAGTTTTTGAGTATATTTGTGACTTCATTAATCAATATTTGTTGAATATATAGGATAATATATATACTATCATACGTCTATCGATCGCTTAATATTATTTTACATATCTTTAACCCTTCAGTACAATGAAAATTAGTCTCTTATCCGTATAAACCTGAATAATTCGCGTTCGATCACTTTTTCATGTATTTGAAGTGGTTTAAAAAATCTCTAAAAATTCATAAACATACTTTCAAGTTTCTAGAACAAATGTACTTTATTTTGGAAAAAATAAAATGTATAATATAATTACTTTTGAAATTTTGAGAAATTTCCATAAATAGAAATCGATCAGACACTATTATCCAGATTTGTGCGCAAGAAAAAGATTGTTACTCACATTCATTGGAAACGGGCGACTCCGTTACGGTGGCCATAGCGTTATCTCTGCAACAAAAATATTAGATAAATATATATTCAAATGAACCGGAAATGAGAACATTGGATGTACGAGGGAAAGTAAGTATATAGAACAAACACGAATCTGTTCTATATTCCTAGGATAAGACTTTATGCTTTTCAATTACAAATATGACTCCTGGCATCATTGGAATATCTACTATTCTTTTAGATTATATTACACTTTCTCAGTTCAAAAATAAGCGTCCCGAGAATTTTCGGAGAAATAAAGAGAAAGAGGAAATTTATAAATGGAACTGCAGAAAGCGCAGCTTATAAAAAGAAAGACCTATTATGTATTATTGATTAGTTCTTCTGAATCTTAAACAGGAAAAGAAGATTTGCAGCCGTGATATCATCGATTTGCTTTACGTTAAACTTGTACGTATTAATTAAAAAATTTTTTTTAATAATGCAAGATATTATTACTTACAGTAAATCTGTTTAATGCTGAATAATATGTACAAATTTTAGCATTTTGTTATTATTAGTATAAAATCTTCATGCGACTTACACATAATGATCTTTATTATTTTAATGTAATTAAAACTATAACTACACTCGTAGAGCAATAAAAAGAAATATTATTACAAATGTTATTACACAAATATGTTTTCTTTTTCATCTCAATCAAATATAGTCTCACATTGATATGAATCTAAACTAAACTGGAGTATCGCTTTTTTATTTATATTTTGTGATTCAAAATGATAGAAGCATCCTTTTTTATTATTTTTATTATTTTATGCGATGCAGAATGTACTCAAGCAGAACGAGTCATTATGATATCAAAATGATGTGAAAAAATAACTTCAAAATGATTATTAAAAGTCATTTTTCATTTCTGATTTATTTTAATGTCATTATGACTAACGATGTTATCGTGACTTGTTCTGCTTGGACAGTTCAGTGTATATAACATGGTATATAAGATAATTATTAAGGACGTTAAGGTATGTGTCTTCTTTCCATACTTCAGCACTGAACTTCTTGCACAGTCCATCTTTTGTCTCCTTCTCTCCAATGTGAAAAGAAAAAGGAGAAAGGTGAACTGTGCAAGAGAAAGAGAAGTTCAGCTATGTGGTATAGAAAAGGAACAGGTCTTATAAGACGGTCAAGATAGATTATATAGCGACATCTATATATAGTGACTATCATTATTTACTTGAACATGCTCCTTCGCATTAAAAATATCTTTTTAAAATTAATGGTTTTCAGCGATAATTCTAAAAAAATCGCTTTTTTCAAATTATAGAAAAAAAACTAAAATTATTTTCTTTTCAGAAAGAAGCAAATATGGCAAATATTTTACGAACATATAAATTTTTCCAATGAATTTTGCTATCCTTAACAAAAGAAGGACCGAGATAATCCATAGAAAATTTTGGAAAAAAAAACAGTTTTTTCCAAAATCTTAAAACTATATTTCCAGCAAAAGAGATACAATGCAACACAGTCATTTAATCTTTGTTTAACATTGAAAGGCAATAAGAATGAAATGATTCACCATGTTAAACTGCATCATCTATGTCTTTTGTTGAAAAGCACCTAAACAAGAATTGAGAAAAAATATATATACTTATATATATCTTAACCTTAAAAAAAAAATTAATTTCTTACATGTAGACCAAACAGTTTAATTAATCATAACAGTCAATATATAAATATTAAATATTTTAAGATCTACTTGGATTGAAAATAGGAATTCTTCAAACTTAATTAAAGTTATTCTCTCATAAGTCCTATTTCAAATTGTAATTGTTTAAATATTTGGCTTCAATTATTTAATTAATTGACTCTTTCTTGGTCCAACTGAAGCTTTAAAGATCCCGAATTTTCAATTTTGAATTATTCTATCTCAAACTCAGACACATACAAAAAAAGTGAAAACGTTTCATATAATTGTAAAATTATGCATATATTGAATGTTGAAAGTGTACCGAATTTTTTCAGATTTTTTAAAGCACCAAAAAACACTTTGAAAAATATAATAATCACCCAGTTATAGACCAAGAAAGCAGTGGAAAAAAATGTCAAATCACTTAGAATTAAGTCAATTATACCGTCAATTTATCATTATTTAAATCAACTAATAATGAATTGGTTAAATGAAAAGGCAAACGATATTTGAAACACCCTATAAATTCCTTTGTCCATAACGAATTTACTAAATAAATAACTACAATAACTACAATAATAATGTAAAACACAAGTCTATACGCTAAAAATTAAAGATACCTTACAAACAAATCAATGAATTTTACATCAGCCTGGTATATTCCAATTCCTACCTCGATAAAAATAAACAAAGGCCTAACACTTTTTATTTACAAACGTTCCGCCATGATTTCCTGTCATCATCGCTCAAAAGCCATTAATAACCGCCGTTTGTTGTTTACATAATCCGAAAAGAAGCAGTAACTGCATCACAAAACCTCACCGTCTCAAATATGAAAAAGCGATAGACGAGAAACAATATCCTAATTATGCTCACAGATCAACTCTCCAGAAAGACGTGCCGACGCATTGCGTCGCTTCAATAAATCGTGGCGCGAAGGTCGGAGGCGTCTCTTTGTTTGCGTCGGAAAAAGGGCGAAGGGAAAATATTTACCTGCTTCCTTCTCTTTATCCTTCTCTCGCGAAATAAGAAACGCTGCAGCTCTCTCGACTCTCCAAGTCCGATTCGATGACGGGCCTGTCGATTCACGAATCACGGACGTAAACTCGTTCGCACGCGAATAAAACCAGATGCACCAAATACGACGCCGACGCGACGGGACAGAACGAACCGAGTCGTCGTGTATGTATACCAAACCGGTCGCTTCGTACGCTGCTTTTATCGCGCGGTGTCTTTGTGCAGTATTCGAGTCGCCGAGGACGACCGAACGTTGCCGAAGTCGAACGAGCCGTCGCCGGCGCGAGCATCTCATTGGCTCGCCGGCGGCGCCGCCTCGCGCTGATTGGCCCGTTTGAACCGTTGAACGTTGTCGACACTGTACCGCCATATGCATTCGCCAAACTGTTCTCGATTAACTCGGCGGCTGCTCCCGCGACACATGTTGGTCCATTTGTCTCATTTTTTTTTGTATTTTCTATTTTTATTCTTTAAAAATTCTTTCTTTGTTTTATAATATAACTATAATTGCGAAAAGTGCTGCTGATACATTTATCGTTGATTTTTTAAATGCCGCACCTGAATTTAAATATCGATTAAAATTTGTCATTGTAACGAGTGTCAATTAAATGACAATAATAATTTTGAGATCTATATTTTTACACATCTTTTTAGTTATTAACTTTATAATATTCTGGAATTTTGTTCTTATTTAGTCTCTGCGATTTACGAATTTATTGCCTCGGAAAAATCCTATATATGTAATTATATATAATTTTACATACTTAATTATATATAATTACATATATAATTATATATAAAATTATATATAAAGTTTTTCCCGGGAGATATTAATTCTTCCAATGTCTTTCCCGAAAATTTCAATAAAAATGAAATTGCTCGGCTTATGATGGACGATTTTACGCATAATTTGTTACCGATTTAAATAATCTTTAAATATATTATATATATGCTATGCAAATTTCATTCTTTTTTTACGACACTGGAATGATTCGCCGGTGCGCATCAATGGATCGCGATTATATTCGAATAGCAAACCGTTAGAACCGTCTTAAAAAAAAAAAAACAATTCCGGATGAATCATATGACTGCATTCTTCAAGGAGTGTGTGGGACGTCGCGACCGTTGCGCGGTCGCGACGTGCTTTGTCGCGTAAAAAAAGTGTATCCCAAATATGGACGGAACGTTCGCGACTGGTTCCACCAGGAATCCGACACTGTCGTCTTTTCACTCCGGGTGGGGTGCGCCTACGACAAAAGTGGCGAGATTTGCTACGATTTACTCCTTCCGTGGTCTTCGATGAATTTTTATCTTGTATACAACGGGCTGCGCAACTGATCCTTGTTTTTATACGTAGCCTTGTTATTGCGCACTTAGATCTGCTATCCGGATTTCCGCATGTATGAGATAAGATTGTGTTTTTTAATTTTGTAAGATTAGATTATTGTAAAAATAAAAGAGTATTCGATTAGTCTTTTTTTAAATTATAAATAAACCATGAGTTATTATAAAAAAAAATAATGACAAGATCGAGTCAATAGACTAGAATTATAATAGAATTATAATAAAATGTAGTAGCAGAATATGATGGCAGATTAATTACAGAAATCGAATAGAATTTATTATTATTGGAAACACGCAAATAAGTTTTTTTTTTATAAGATTTGAATTTTTTACAGCTGTTGGATTACATTACATTAAAGTGTGAAATTTTACATTCAGATTGAACTAAGTAAAATAACTTTCGTATTTTTGATTCAATACAAATTGTAGCTTCTCATTTATGCTGCG